ACATTCCTGGACACAAAACACAGCTGCTGTGGAAGACAGGCCCAGGTGGCAATGGAAGGCTGGAGAAGAGCAAATAGACAAATTCCCTGTTTCATTACCATGTGTAATCCGAAGTACAGAATCAGATTTGTGATATATAGGGAGGAAGAAAAAGTAACAGACTTAAAGACCCAACTATCTACCTCACATGATAGGCTCTGTGAGTCAGCAAAACAAAAGCTTTTGGACAGAAGGAAGAATTTTTCATCTCTCTTCTGATGTGGAAACTTTCATGCAGGCCAGTGGGAGGTCTGCCAAAGGCTCTGAGTGCCATGCAGCAATTGTCCCATTTTCAGCTACCAAGGCAGGAAAAAGGGAAGAGGGAGTGGTTCCACTTATTCTCCAAGAGAAAGAGATCTTACTCTTCAAGAAATCACATCAGCAGCTTGTTTTCAGTGTTTGTTTGCAGTACTTTAAAGTCACAATAATTTCTTCACCTGCCTTGGAGAGAAGGTGGCTCTGGAAAAGCCTCCTTTTAACCTTCCCTTGCCAAGACCACAGTGAGCAAGACTGCAGAGACACCCATGAGCATCAGCTCTGTGAGGCCCCAGGCAGGTCTGAGCCCACTGCAGGCTAATCCACAATCCTGTAGTACCTACACAGTTGTTCTTGTTGAAATAGTTCAAGGATACAAAGAAGACCCATGCCAAATACAAGTATCTTCAAAGGTAAAAATGAGGAAGGAAGCTTAAGGTCTAAACAAAAGCTAGAGGCAAAACCAAGACATCATCCTGCTAGAAGAACATATGAACACAATCTCTCCTCTTATCTGCATCTTCCTCCCTTTTCTGCACTATTTGGCTTCCTCAGAATAAATTTCTAATCCTAACTCTCCCAGCAAGACAATGAAGTGTAAACACAGTTGGCATAAGCATACTTAGAAATTCCTCTCTGCACCCATCTTCTATGCTGTGGTTACCCTTTTACACAAAATGATTCTTGAAAGACTGCAGCATAAGGTGAATATAGAGCTTGGGTTGTCTACAGTCTACATAAAAAAAACCAAAAACAAAACCAAACACACCCACACAAAACCAAACAGGAATGAACAGAAATAACCTTACTACAATCCTTCTGATGATAAAAAAACTCAGCATCAATCCAACAGGTGCCTGTTGTGCTCCAAAGAGTAAGCCAGTAGACTAAATACTCCCTGGGCTTTGAGTGCCAAACTGAATATAGCACATCACTGCCTTGGTGGTACTACCATTTTCCAAGCAAACACAGCCTTTCACCCACTTTACCATAACATACCAGATAATGGTTTCATGAAGATTTTGGGACAAGAAAAAATTTAACATTGACATGGTCTCCTTTTTATGGTCAACTTTCTTAAAGTACCAGCATCCATCTTGACATGCTTATTCCATCACCTGAAAACGCCTCTTACCCTTCCCAAAGCCTGCACCATATTCTACAGGTCAAACTGCTGCCATGAGCACTTCCCTGTGTGAACACATACCTGTAGTATAATGAAAGTGAACTTCCAAGAACAGCATAAACCACATAGAACAATGGGTGAATAAATACAGAACTGCTCGGATTTTCTCCAGTTTTTACTGCAATAATGTGCCTCCATTTCTAAGAGCATCAATGATGCTGCTACAGTTTTTCAGATGACAGAACTATGGATCAAGTTTTGTGCACAAGCCTAGGGCCAAAAAGTGACAGGGTAAATGCCTAATAGGAAATCAGTCACATTACACTGGCATGTTCCATAAAGAGACAGTTATTCATGCTCAAAGTTGTCGGACACATTTTCTTTTCCTCTTCCTTCTCCTCCCAGCTCATATAGATACTTGTTTTGTCTAATTAGATGAACATTTATCTCCTGACAGGCAAGAGCTGGCAATACTACAATCATCCTTCCCTCTATCCCTGTTTAACTAGAGATAGTTGAGAGGAAGTGATTGCAGAGAAGACAAGTCCTATTTCCCCAGCTCATGCTGCCATAGGCAATCAATTTGGAGCAAAGGTTCCATCTTGAAAATGTCAAACAGAATGAAAGAAGATAAAAATCAAAAATGGTAAAGTCAGCTCCAACCATTCCTCTCGGACCAGCTGCTCTCCCGGGTTCTTCCAGCATAGCTGAGAGCACAGCTAGAGGAGGATCTGCTTTCTGTGCTGACTGTGCCATGAGGTCCTCAGCCTCAAATCAGTTGTCCCTCACCCGCTCCTGCAATTCCAGAGAAACTGCTGGACCATCAGTCCTGCCTGCCAGTCTGAAAAAAGCAGTCTGTGGTGCACGGCTGGAGGTCTCTTCCCGCTGATTCCCAACCCAGTAAACATGCAAACACACAAATTTCCTTCCCAGGAACAACGGTTTGCTGCCCAGACACTAGGGAAGGAAAATAATCACTACTGGCAAAGGACAACAGTGGCTTCAGCCTGGTAGAGGCAATTTTTATTTTTTTTTTAGCAGGGTGACCAGACATTCTGGTTTCACTTTTCCAGTACCTCTGAAATTCTCCAGGATGCCATTTTGCCCCAGTGTTTCATGGAAATACTTTTTTTCCTCTCTCATCCTACAGATCTGAAAAATAATCCATGGTAAGAGAAGGAAGATCACCAGCCTTCCAGCTCCTTTTGCAGTTTGTCATAACACTCACTAAAAAGGAAAATTCTGAACAGGAAATTGTTCAGAGGAAAATAAAGGCCAGGTTGACTTGGATGTATCAGGATAAGCAGTGGTGAAATGAAGTAGCTGTGACCTGGATTAAACTAGTCCAGGGGCATAGAACAGGGTCAGCTGCTAAAGCAGGGACTAAAATCACTGGGACTTTCTGAAGGGTCTAAGTGTCTACTGCACTGCAAAGGGACAACATTCCCCTCAACCAAATCACAACTTGAAAAGATTCGTATTGCCCTAGTTTTTTAAAACAGGTTGCTGTTCTTACACAGGAACTAGTCATATAGAATCAGTTCACTCTTCAATGCAGTGACCTCCAGAACCTTCATTGGCTAACTCCATATATCAAGCACTCTCCACTTGCCCATAACTGCTCTGGAGAAGCAAGAGCTTCAGCAAAATATTTCTCTTCTTCTCTGTCTTTAGATAAGTAGATTCAAACTTCAGCTCTATCTACACCTACCTACACTCATCTGAATCATGAACTGGCAAGAAAATTTGGGTCAGAAATATACAGGAACACCCACAACACTCCATGTACCCTCCCCAGAGAGGGCACAAGCAGCCTCACCCTGAGAGTGCCTCAGACCAAATCAGATATGTAAATGTGTGAGCACAGAGTGTCTAGACTGCCACTTTGGAGACTGACAAATGACCTTCTGAACACTCCCATCACTGCCAACACACCAGGCTCGGGAACTTGCTGATCCCACCAAGGGATGCACACACCAAGATGCACATGACCAGGTATATAAGCCTTTACTCGAGCCATTGCTGAGATAAAGATTAATTTTAGATAATAATTCTTACATTAGAGAGTGAGATTCCAGTGGATGGTTGCAGAGAAGTCATTGTTGCTCACAACAGTGGCAAAAACACACGTACACCAAAAAAAGCATAAACAAAGGTCCTCCCTACAGCCCTATGAACCCTGACAGAAGATGTCTGGGGGGTACTTTTTTTTTTTTTTTGTCCCCAGATGAGCAATATTAACATAAAACTAACACCAGCAGAGAAGACAGGTGGTAGAAGAAAACCTGAAGGGAACTGAACCACCTGATCTTCTGATTTCAGGGTCAAATGAGCACAGAACAGTATTTTGCAATACCAGTGTCTTACAACCTTCTGACAGGCATGAGTTCAGTTATTCCTTTTCTTTGTGATGTCACAATCAAAATATGTATTTATCCACACAAACACAATTAAAAATAAAGTAAAATAAAAAACTGGCATTTAGCAAGACCTTCTAGGGCATTCTTAATTCTTTACCAGATTTGACCAGCCAGGTCTACAAGCACCAATGAATTTCAAACCATGCCCGACCTCACCAATGCAGGAAATCAATTATAACATTGCACCTTCTCCTCCCCAGAGCTTAAAAGGACCCTTCCAAAGCAACAGTCACATTAGGCAGGAGTGAAACAGAGACTGAAAGCCCTGAGAACACCAGAGGTCTAGCACAGTTCTCAAACTGACACAGTCTGGACAGTGGAAGCTCACTACCACCTTTTGAGGTTTTCATCAGTCAGCATTTCCTTAACCCCTGCCACCTTCAAGGAGTTGTTAACTGCTTCCACCAAAACAGAGCTGCTCACCAAGTTCATCAGTCCCCATGACTATATAGTAACAGAAGCAAGTTTCAGTGGCCTCTTTCCTTGTGAAATCCTACCTCTTGCATTTTATCAGTGAAAACGGTTTTCCATCTCCAAGATGAGAGCGAGACAAGATTTAAGGTCAGCCAATACATCCCAAGGCAACTCCATCCCTGTCAGATCTTGTTGCTTCAGCAAATGTTACGAGTTGGTGACCACTGGCTACAATTATCACTGAGTACTAAGCTCCTTCCCTCTGCCTTAAAGGGTGCAGCAATTCTTTCCCTAGATCTTCAAAGGAGAGTGTTGCCACCCAGCAGCTTCTGGCAGCAGGACATATTCTACAATAAAAGCCAGCAATGAATTCTCCTGGAAGCAGGAAACTCAGCAGCAGCATCAACTGCATGAGAATCCACTCACGTACAGAGCATTCTACTGAATTAAAAAATAGGGCATTGATTTTGTTATTCATTTTTGTATTTAACTCAATATTAATCCCTGCATACAAATGCCTTTTCCCCGCTGCCACTTTCTCATGCCTCAGCAGAATTCCTCGTCAGCAGCAGAAACAGAGATGTAGGTCCTGAGAACAAATCGATTTGTCTGCTAGGAAGACAAACTGTGTGTGAGCTGAGGGCTCTGAGCGGGCCGTCAGTCAAAGCCTCTGCTCTCCCTCCTCAGCGAGCACCTCCCTCAGCCTGCGCGCGAGGAGAACGGAGAAGGAAGCCGGCAACACTTACGCAAGGCGTGCCACTCGTCCTGGCGGATTGTCTTGGTGATGTTGTAGGTGAGGTTCTTGGGAATGGTCGCTGAGGAGTAGTGGTACTTGATGTACGAGCACCGCTCAATTGCTCCTGGGAAAGGCAAAATGCAGAAGAGAAAGTGCTGGTCAGTGAATGCAATGTGGCCTCCCAGTTGTGGACCAGATGGGTTTGACAACCAAAAACAAAGCTTAGGAGCAAAGCAATCGCTACCATTGACAATCAGCACTATCTGTGGCCCACGAGAAGCTCATCTGTAGGGTAACCTGACTACCTGTATTGTAAGTTCTGATGTGATCTTCCACACATTCCAGGAACCTCCCAGTCTGGCCCTATAGTAGCTGGCAGAGTGTCAGCTTTCACCATCAGATATCTATTGGGCAAATTACCCCTTCTTTCATGTCTTTTCTCTGAAACATGAGTGAGCAGCAGCAATACAGTTACTGTGTTGAAACTGTAAATTCATGTCTTAGCTTATTGTACAGTCATGGGTCTCAGTGCCCATACTCCAGGAGATCTTTGATCTTTCCTTAAGCAATGAAAAACAACACAGAGAAAAGTAATACATCAGATAGTAAACAATTTGCCTGACCCCTTCCCACCCCACAGCGGGATACATGACAATATGTCTCTTGACTATATGACACCCAGACACTTTCATAAAAGGTTCAGAAACAGAATTTATTGGCATGCCTGAACAATGAGCCTCAGACGGCAACATGAATGCCTGAAATGGGCAATTTTTTTCTCCTGCAGTCAGGATTTCATCTATGTTCCATGGGAAAAAGCATCACATGCTGCTTCTGTTACCTTTTGGTCACATTATTACATTCCCGTTTTACAGAAACTTTCCTTCCTGTACAATAATCACACCTCCAGGCCCTGATCTCCTGGCATGTCTCTGCATAGTGAGTGTCCTTAGAGGAATGGGTCTGGTGTAGTCAGATGCTTTCCGTGATTTACAGCCAGCCAAATTTCACATATGATCAGAAACCACAGGATAGCGTAACTGTTCTTGTGTTGATGAAAGCCAGTCAGGTTTCCTGCATTCCTTTTGCCAGCATTCTCAGCTATCACTGGCTTTATTACACCTTCTCACTACACAGTCAGATTCAAAGCTCATGAAAGCCATTTTTCTATTAATATTATGGTATTTTGGATCAGGCCTTTGATAACTAAATAGGTATCCCTAATGTGGTTGGCCACTGTTGGTTGCTAGCTACCAATGGTCAGAGAAGCAGCTATGCTGGAAATGCTTTTATGTATTAAAAATACATTAAGACAAGCACTCAATAGAATAAATTAAATGAAGCAATGAATTATATAAATAATAAAGAGCACTATACACAAAGAGGTAGGTAGAGAACACTTACTGTCAGCCTGAACTGAAGAGGCAGACCCATTAGCCTTATATTGACAGTTCTATGGGGTAAAATATGCTTTTATACCACCAGAAACTCAGGTTTCTACTTCAGGTTGTAAGATAGTACTTGGCATAAACTTAGATAATAGTCCATGAATTCACAGCATGAATAAGAAAGCCCATGAAACAAATTATTAGTTACATCAGAGCCTACCAGCATCTTCCAAAGTTAGTGCAATATAAACATTTGAGGTCCTCATTGTTTGCTTCTCTTAAGCACTCTTCACATTCTGCCTTTGACAGCAATTAGATTAGACAAAGCCAAATATTATAGGGGAAAAAGGCAAAATATTTACATATGTATCCGCCTGCCCTGACAGCGTGATGGGCTTCTGTGTGAGTCTGCACCATCTGGGCACCAAATGTACGCCCAGAATTAAAGTTTCAACCTAAGAATAGTATTTAAAAAAAAGATAGCTAGTGTGCAAAGAGCTTTTAAAAAAAAATCCCCAAATCACAACCTTGCCTTCTTATAGGTTTTTGTATCCTGTTTTGTTCAGTTGCTTTCCTGGACCAGAAGCATCAGCAAGAAAATGAAAAATGTTCATTTTTCAGAAAATAATCTGTAAGTTATCAGATACCTGCCCAGACAAGAGATTTATATAGAATAACAGAAATAGACACAGAGCCAAGATTCAAACTAAAAGCTTGCAGAAGGAAGGAAGAAAAAAATCCTGTTCCGTTTGCTATAATTTCTGAAAGTAATCAGCAGAAACAGCTCCTCTGAAACCAAAGAGGCTAATTTCTAGCAAGGTCCATCAGACTTAATTCTGCAAATACTGTTAGGAGTAATGCAGTGAGCTGTTCAATAGCTTTTACCAAAGCCTAAAGCAGAAAGATATCACGGTCTGAATTCAGGTCATCACTTGACCTTATCTTTAAATTTGGGCTTATGCTTACTTCCCCATGGTGTTAATGAGACTTAAGTACATCTAAAAAGACCTTCAGGAGCGCTGTCAACTGGGTGGGCAAACAGGGCACTTGGTGTTGCAGTTCACAAAGGCTGTGCAGGAAGGGCGCTGATGCCCTGCCAGCTCCACCAGGGAGCAATGGTGTCACCCAGCAGAAAACCACGGTAGAAGCAGGCAATAGCTTACTGGGAAACTCAAGCTCTTCATGGTCCAAAATGACAGTGTTTGGGATTGCTTTGCATTTAAACATGAACCATTTATTTAAACCCACTCTCACAAGTGTAGGAGAGTGACTATGCTGAGTCAATGCAGCTATATCAGCACATATCTAACTAGAGGTGAGAATTCGCTTTTGAAACTTAGAATAAGGCTTTCATTTGCCTGAACCTGCCAATAAAAATAATGAGAAGGGTGAGTTTATGGGTAGTGATAATTCCATACTTCTGATGTTTTCCTGCTTGTCCCACTGAGAGGAGAACAAGGTTCAAGATGCCCGAACATCCAGTTCCTGGAAGCCCCTGGGAGAGCAGAAGCAGTGAGTGCAGCAAGGATCAGAATGACTGCTCTCTTAGAAAGTCTTCTCAGAGAAATGCTATGAAATCCTTACCCTTCAGGAGAATTAATAGCTATGCTCACTGCAGTCTCTGAGATAGGAAGCAAAGCAAACTTTCCCTTCCGTACCCTTACTAGGGTAACTGCAATTTATGGAGCACCTCCAGCCTTCAGCACTAACTCAGGAAGACCAAATGCAACTGCAGCTGAGCTCTGCACTTTGCTGAAATAACTGGGAACAGTATTTATAGAGCAAACCAGTGAGTGGGTTTTTTCACATATGCAGCTGCCATAGCAAGAGTTATAGCTGGCCATAAGAAACACAAAACCACCACAAAGCTGCTCCACTGACACATGCAGTATATTCCAGGTTTCTGTGACCAAAGGGAAATGTTTGCTGAAAATCCTAAAGAAAAGTAGCTGACATGTTCCAGTAGAGTGCTAAGAAAAGGATCAGCAGGAAGATGCAACTAGAATGAGGCAGAGTAGACCTCTGCCATGCTATCATCACATAAGCACAGATGCTGGGGGGATTCAGCAGCTGTTAACTGTGGCTGGCAACCCCCTGTTCCTGCAAAGGATGGATTACAAACAAAACTGAGATAAGGAAACTAGAGATAGCTTCAGCCTAAGCAGCTAAGCATTCACAGCATCAAACATGCCACTCCTCTTACTGATCCACTTACTTTCTCAGTTCCCTTCCCATATCTGTTGATCACCAGTCCAAACTGCCATTTTATTGTTACATAATATTTCCTCTTCTCTCCATTGCAAGGAAAGTCTTTAACTTGTGCTATAGCAGAAATAGCACCTGAAAACACTGATTTTTTTCTATTAAATTTTCAAAACTATGGACATCCTGATGTTAGTTCAACTGCAAAAGAAACTCAGCTCCTGCTGTACTACTAGGACTGTAAACATTATTCTGGGTTGAGGCCTCAAACTTTTGGGTAATGCAGAGGGTGACTGAACCATTATCCCACTCTAAACTGAAGAGAATTGAGAGTTTACGTTGCTGGTGTCCGTACTCTATTTGTCTGGTGGGTAATCTTTTTTTAGAACTTTTGAACCAGCTGTTCTTCAACACCCTGGGCCTCTCCCACTCCCTTAAATATAATATTTAAACTCTTTCAAAGTGGTCCAAGAAAGAGTCTTTACCATGCCTGATTTAAGAAATAGAATGAAAGTTCAAAGTGCCACCAAGATAATGGTCACCTCCCTCCTAAATTTTGGATCCCAAAGCACCCAGAGGCATTTGTTTGGTGAGGTCATTTGACTTTTGCAAAGGTGGTTGCCAAGTTTCATGAATTTACACTGTCAATATGATCATATAGTTAGTCTTCTGCATAATACAGACCAATTCATCTGAGAGTTGGCAATGGAGACTAATCCTTGTGACGGTCTTTCATGAAACTGGTAATCTCTGAGAGCAGTTAGGTAAAGCTCAGTAATCTTACTTCAGATCCAGCCCATGATGGCACCCAGAAGTGTTAATTGCATGGGTTATCTGATTATACTCCCCTCCTGTCAATGAGGGGATTGATTTCACACTTTTCCCCCACAGCTTTCAGGCCTGCAGGCTTTGGAACCATCCTTAACATTCAGGTACAGATTAACCCAGTGCCTGTGAATAAGTTATCTTTGGTAGCTGGAAAACTTGCAGGTACAGATAAGAATTTATCCCACTCTAAGATCATATGCAGCAGTCCTTGGGTAAAAGCAATGAGGAATCTCAGACGCAGGGAGTCAGCAGCTCACTTGCTCAGGACTTCACCAGCCAGCACTGACACGACTGTCACCTCCCATCCTGTAACATGCAGAGATCTGAAACCAGGAGGTACCCATTCTTCTCTTGTAGTATGCATGTTGATTCCTAAGAAGGATCCAGCTGTACAACTAGTATTTGTTTTATGACATTTCCTGCCTAAGCTTTTGGTATGATGAGCTTCCCTGAAAAGACTGGTGTGGATGTTCTGAGCTACCGCCAGGCAGCTCTTCCTTCTTCTGTGTCGCAGATCCCCCTGGATGAACTGTTTGTAGCAAGCAATTTATTCCACGAAATTCACCCTTTGTGCTAGCTCTAATTTTTACAAATCTGTTTGAGAATTATTACACAAACATTTCCTAAGAAAAGCAATCTTAGCCTCTGGCTTGCAAACTGCACTCACTTCATATATTTGCTATTCATTATGAGAAACTGCCTTCTG